GAGACTTAGTGATCTGCTCCAGGTCTGAAGCTAACATTCCCTCGGGTGTTAACTCTCTTCACTTTGTGTTTGTCCACAGTAGAGGTAAACAGAAACAGTGAAGTTGGGATCTTTATTATCAGCCACTCCGACCACAACAGAACATAAACAGCTCCTGTATAACCAACTCACTCTGACAGGGCTCAAACTGCTCTCAACAGCCAATCACAGACAGACATAGGGCTACTAGTATAACACACAGTAGCCTACCAGAAAAGTCACTGATCGCTAGCAGTATAAACTTTATTAGCCCGTAAAATTCCATAAATTAGCCGCATCATTGTTTAAGCCGCAGGGTTCAAAGTGTCGCTTATAGAACGGAATTTTATTGTGTAATATAAATAGTTTAGATTTCAACATTTCTCAGGCCAGAGACAGAGAGAGATGGTGCAGACATACAGGGTCTGTATGTATATGTATAATAAACTACATGAACCCGAAGAGAGTCTCTGTTGTGCTGCATAGGGTGTCTTGCCAGCGTCCTGACATGGCTCTATGTAACCCTGTGGAGTTTGTTGTCCTGTGCATGACTTCTTATTTTTTATATTTTATGCAAAGATGTTAAATGCTGAACCAATGCCGTACTACTTTTATTAATGTGAGGTCTCTCTGTTTCCTGTTCCTGCTGTCCGCTGTGTAGCGTAATCAGTGTGATCTCACTCACCTGTGTCTCTGTGATTAGTCTCACTCGTGTCACCTGGTGCCCTGTGTATATATACACCTCTCTCCCTCACTCTGTTCTTGTGGGATCATTGTATCTGGTCGAGTCTGTTTGCGAAGAGCGCACTGGTCAGTTTGTGCTTTGTGTGTTCTGAGTACATGCTGGCTGTTTTGTGTTCATGTCCTGATGGCGATGCCCATGCCTGTCCTAAACTATCTACATCTGAAAAGAGCCTCTCCAGTACTGCACTTGGGTCCTGCCTGCTTCCTGCTTTGACGGCATGTAACAATTAAGCTGCCAGTTATATGTTACCATAGGAAAACATTGAGGTATTGAAATCTAGTTACTGTGTATTTACAGTTACTTCAGCGAACAATGTCGGGTGGTTGTCCCGCAGGTGATATTAACATATTGGATGCATTTTCTCCTTGCACCGCAGTTGTATGGCATTCCTTAAATGCTGGTGAACTGTCAACCACGACGACACCCTGGTCGCTTTTTTTTCTGTAGCCAAAATAATGTCCCACCCCGTGATTCAATTTGCTTGTTCAAGGGGAATAACTCTTTATTTTGCTGTTTTTCCCTACCTGGACAGGGCTCCCTTCTGCAACTTGTAAGGATTGAAAACAAAGCTACATGCGGGGCAACATGCATGTGTTGCGTAACTTTGTTTCAGGTCTGTTTGAAATTCACTTAACTCTAGTTCCGCCATATTATTTTCTGGCGTTATTCGGACACATTACGATAACTTTACCTTGTGAATAATACCGTAATTATTGTGATATGGAGTAGTCGTGAGATCACAACAGTGATTACAACTGACACTTTGCCTGAGTCGGTATTCAGCCTTACGTCATTTATCACTTTAAAGAAAGCCTTTCCTGTACTGTGACAGGGTCGAAGCCTGATTGAAATACATCAAGTTAGAGTTAAAGGAAAAATACAGAAAGAGGGAGGAAGGGGAGTATGTATTGAAATTTATTGAAAAAGGTAATTCACTGAATATTGGACCGGTATATGTTGCTATGTTGTGATTCGTTTAAATACTGTATGTAGAAATGACTGTTGAAACATTTCACATTGTCATTGTGTGCCAAGCCACAAGGTGGCAGTATTCTGTGTGCCCCACGTTCACCACAAAAGAAAAAGGAAGCGATTCTTTGTAATCCTTTTAAAGGGCCGGCGTTTAGGTTTTTGTTTTTTTTTGTTTTTCAGGCAGTGACTGTGTCGACTAACCACACGTTCGTTGGTAAAAAGCACCCTTTGCTGTTCTTTCTCACCAGGTTCAAGTAATAAAAATAAATCGTTTTAATAACTCTCTGAATAACAATGTAGGAAGTACATTCTATATAATATCAGTATGTGTGAAAAGTAATTAAAAGCAAAGTTATGATTGACGAGTACGGTGAGTCTTTTTATTTCTGTCTTGATAGATGGATTCACGTAAAATCAAATTTGGTAAAAGGAAATACAGGATAGAAACAACTTCCGGTTAGCGGACAAGAAAAAGTAGCTCCGTGTTCACAAGACGATGCCACATAATTTATTGTTGAACAACACTGGTCCCTCCTCGTATAGCTAACGTTCTGTTGCTATTGGAACGGTTGTATCCAATCCGAAACTACAGGCATGACATTATCCTGACATCGAGCGGGCAAGCTTTTTAGCCACAGTGATAGCCCTGTCACTGTCGGAAAAGCGCTGCATGAGCTGGCCGCCATATTGGACAGCTATATACGGCTATATACGGCAACTCGACTTGGACAAACTTCGGTAGAGTCGCAAATTCTTTCTTAGTTATTGTCCGATATGCGTCTACCAGCGTTTATTAGTTTTTTTTAACGGTTACATTTATAGCGGTCCATCACTCCACCCTATCGCAATGTATGTTTATTCGGCTCTTTTTGTTGTTGTTGCATACATACAGACAACGGGTGTACTGTTGTAGCATTGTACAACTAAATTACCCGCGGTAGGAAGGAGCTCTTAAGGTAATTGGCTGCTAAGCTCTTTGTTTGTGGGTGGCCTGTTGCTTTACGTCGGGCCAAACAAGCAGTACGTGCTCAGTAGTGTTACCCGAAGAAGAAGAGAGGTGTACCCTCCTAGAGTGCCACGATAAACCTGGAATTGGCAACTATAATGGTGTGAGAGGCACCAGACTGGGTCATTTTTTTTTGGCTATTTCTGGTCCACTCTCGAATTCACCTGTACATTCATAGCTTTTTAATGGGGTAAGGGCGTCGTAATCTTAGGACCCCCTGTATATAGAAACCAGCTTACTTTTTTCATGTGCAGTTTGTCCAGCTTTGTAAGGATTTCTGTACCTTTGTTTTGGAATAATTTCTTTAAATTCTTTAAACATTCTGTGTGTCTCCGATGTTTCCTCTTTCCAGCCAGTCTTTCTCATACCAGGTGCCCTGGGGAAGTTGCTGTACCTTCTTACCTGTGTGCTGTGAGTGTTACATGTTTCTGTGTGTTCTGTTCAAATTGAGTTGAATAAAGGTAAAAGCTGTTTCTAAGTATAATTTGCAAAATTTGACTTAAATGTTTTATAATGTATTATGTGGGTAGCTGGATTTTGAGGTCTTTTTTTTGCTCCTAATTGTGATCATTTCTATTTACTAAATAAATAAAACACTAATGCAAAGAATGTTGGAACTGTATTTTGCAGGAAACAACAAAAACTGTGTTGTTTGCATGCACACGTAGTGAAAAGCACAGTCGATCTCTGTACGGAGAAAAAAAAAAAACGTTCAGACATCTAAGAGGAATGTAAGTAATCTCATAGAGATTTTAGTCCTTAAGAAGAGCTTCTACTTCTTCTTCTTCTTCTTCAACTCTGCACGACTGTCTGAGCTGTTCCAGTAGTAGAGCACCTGCAGAGCTATGACTGCATTACAGGACGAGGATATGACATACGTCAGGGCCATCAGTGAGTCTCCAGTTTCCTGAAAGAAGACATGATATTGGAGTGTGAGGGATTTCCAATAAAATATGGCACGCTGGACATAAGTGTCCCACTGCTGTAATGCTTGAATGATAACAAGCCTCCAGTCACTAGGTGGCAGCAACTCAGACAGTGGATTTTGCAGATAAAAATATACATGTCATCAGGTTCTCAATAGTATTTCAATTCGTGGGCGTGTGGGTGATGTGTTTATAGTGGAGGCAAATGCCCAGCCAGCCATTTTCTCTTACCTGTATCGAAGTGAAAATGCGGGCAAGGGATCCAGCAAACAGCAGGAAGACAGTGACTGCAGACAGCTGACCAGTATGTCCATTTCTGTAGTTAGTAACAGACTGGATCAGCTGAGTAGAAAAGAAAGACAAACCCACACATGCAGTGTCAGTTCCTCGGGTTTCATTTGTTCATACTCATCTTTTGATTCAAGATTTATTTAAAAGTGAAAACAATCTTTGTGATATACAAAAGGTATGATTTTGTTTCAGGGTGTTGCCTACCCTGCTGATGATGATTGCAGGCATGTTAGAGGCCTGCATGAAGGTGACGACAGACAACGGAGTGGCTGGAGACAGGACCAACAGCACCAGGCCGAAATATATCACCAAAAACAGAAGACCTGCACCAGGAGAAATTCACATTAAAGCTCACACTTGTGTAAAGCTTGTTTGCTTTAAAACAAAGCAGTCTAGATGGTATTGCATTGTATTGGATTTGCTAGTGGTTGAATGACTGCCAGGTGTTTGTTTTCATGTTGTTGGCTGATGTGCTCCTTCGTTCAGTGAACTGGACAACAAACTTAATTTAACACTTCCTCAAAATTATAGTCATCAATTCTTCTATTGAGCACCTGGTAATATTTATTTATTTATTTATTTGCAAACCACTGTATGAGTTGCTGGTACCAGCATCTAGTGGGCAATCCCCTGATTGTCAAAATAGTTTACTTAAATGAGCTGCAATGCTGCCATCTAGTGACTTTCACTTTCATATACAGCCATTTCCCCCCCAAACTTTTTTCAGGGCACTCGTCATTTGGAAAAACCATAAAGGATTATTACAGATATTACATAATTGTAAGGATATATAAGAATGATATCAAAGCATGTCAATGTATAATCCTTATTTATTGAAAAGCATATACTGTCAATTAACCAATTAAGTGCGTAACTTCTAGAATACAATTTGGCAAACATTATTTTATTTTAAATCACATCATAGTTGAATGACAGCAGCACTATTAGATTCAAATTAGTTTTGTCATTAAGCTTTAACCTGCTCAAAATAATTATTTAAAAACCCACTGTGAGACGTAAGAGAAAAAAATAAATACAAATATAAGTATACATATAAGAAGTAACAAGCTGAGTTGTGTAAAAGGTATTGCACGTCATGAGAAATGGTAGAATTTGATGTAAAGTTATATTATATAAAGTTAGGATATTGCAATATATTAATATATTCACAGTACATATTATGCTCTTTGGACGTCAAATGTCCCTTGACGTTCAAAGAGCAAGTGTTGGGTTCATTTCAGTGTGTGTGGGTGGGTGGTCCTACCTCTGCTGGTTTTGCCTCCGTAGTGTAAAATAAGAAAGCCAATGGTGACAGTCTGCAGCATGAGGAACAGAGCTTCTCCCCAGGCACTTCAGGAACACACAGAACATTTACTATTGTTAATCCCAAAAATCCACACTTCAGTTCTTTAAATTCATTTTTTTTCAGTGAAGTGTGAAGTTTATATTCCAGTGTGAGTGCACCATAACAAGACAAGGGATTTTTATACTAGGTCACAAGGGGACAGTGTAACCTAGTCAGATACAAATACATGAACATGTACAACTCTCAGTTACATTCCAGTTTTAAAGGTAAGATTCTGAGACTTTTTTCTGGCATCAAAAAAGATCCAATAATTGAATTGTCTTTTTTGTAATGGTATTGACCAATCAAAACTGACAGCTCTAAACACAATATATATCGAGTTATTTAATCTGGTCACACCAAATGACACAATTTAGTGATGTACACATTTTCTTTGAAGCCATCTGTAATGCATTTGTTGCTTTACAAAAATTAATGTTTTTTTTGGTTAGTTGTATTTATAAAAAAAATATTATATCAACATTCAAATACAATTCAACATTGATTGTACATTTGTCGATATATAATTTTACTAACAAAATATCACCCAATCTTCTCAACTTATGTCTCCAGGTGTTGTGTCAACACATTTAAAGTCATCTTTTTTTTTTCTAAATGTTTGGCTGAATAGGGATTTGTGTTGTGGTAAGTTCCCTCACGGTAAAATTGGATCCACAGCACAATGGACTTTGTAACATGTATCATAAAAAGACATTGTCGTGCACTATCAGCAAAGGGCCCAAAGGTCACATGACCAGCAGCAAAGTTCTCCTGACCATACATGGTAATCATGTACGATCTGGTCACCGTACATGGTAGCAGACAATTGATTTGCAAAGTTAAAGATTGTTATTTTTTCTATTATTTTCTATTATTAATATTTGCTAAGAGAAGTTAAACTTCCTCTCAGCTGGCCTAAAACAATAAGATTTTTATTATTACAACCCCCCCCATTTTGACATAACACATTTCTGGCCACCCCAGAGACATTTTACTTAATGTCACATCCTGTCACATAATCACAGGCAACAATCAAGATATGCCAGCTCTGATATTTCTATATGCTTTCATTTATTTGAACTCATGATTCATGTAAGTTTAAGAATACGGTTGTTAAAGATTGTGTTTGGTGTTTTCAATCATAAGTATAGTATAGTAATTTGTTGAAAAAAATCTTTTTTATCAGAATTTTTTTTTAATCATTTACTAGAACTTTCAGTCAACCCTGCAGTTAAAAAACACTGCACTAACCTGAAGGGGAACTTGTAGGTGATGCTGTAGGCCATGGTTCCTGTGATAGCCAGCAACTCCAGCAGAACGGAGTGGAAACTTAGGCCTGTAGCACTCTTTGCTCCAATCACCTTTAGGATTTGAGGCAGTTTAACTGGCAATTGAGACAAGAGATAAATTATTTATATACAGTATACACACACACACACAAACAAAAATGTATATTATATACGTAGACACTGGATGCAAAAATATTAGGATTAATATTATTTGTTAACTACAACAGCGCTGTAAAAGTGAAAATAGCGAACAAACCGCTGAAAAGTTACAAATTAATATTTTTAACATTTGCTAAAAATATTTAATAGTGGTTTTAAAAAGATTTAAAAAAATTATTAAAAAATATTTTATTTAAAAGTATTTAACAGTAGTTATGCTATTGCACCATCTGAAAGAATGTTTGTTTTTTTCAGTCAGTAAAACTTTTTTTGGCCCTTTTTGCCTAAGAAAAAAAAAGCCTCCCTCCCTAACCAAATACACATCACCTGCTAATGCTCAAATTCAATTAGCACTAATTTTACACTGCTGGGAGTTGGGAAATGAGTCCAAAAAATATTAAGTTATTGTAATATTACTTTAAAATATTGCTTTAAGACCTTTCTTGTACTTGGTATCAGTCTTGTATCTAATAGTGTATAGAGTATGTTGAAATACAGTACAGTATATTCTATGTGTATTCCATATATATTTTTAAGTTTATTACATAGGGGCCCCAGCATTCCTGGCAGTGCCCTGGCTACAAGATAGAGGCAAAAATAATGCGTCGTTACCCAAAACTGATCCCAGGATGATGCCGATCCCAAGGCCTTTGCTGAGGACAATCTTCAAACATGGCACTGAAATATGAACAGAAAATAGAGTGAAACACAGAACATCAAACTATGCCTTAACATATACCTTACACCTTAGCATGTAATAATTAATAACTGTTCTTAAGTGTCATGCACAGAATAGACATTCATTCGTGAGGAACTTCTAACGAAATATGACACACTGGACATAGATGTACCACCGCTGTAACGCTTGAATGACAACAAGCCTCCAGTCCCTAGGTGGCAGCAACTCGTGCAGTGGTTTGTACAGATAGAAATATACATGTTATCATAAATTCCTGCACTCTTGAGTGATCATATCCACATCCAAAATGTAAATTGGATAAGCAGCAAGAGAACAAAGAAGTTGTGTAAAATGATGTAATCTTCTTCAGACCTCTGAAATATTTGCAATTATGAATGAAATAATGCCCACTAAATATCAGTGATAACACTTTATGTCTCATGTGCATTAAACCAATGGGCTCATACAGCAGCAGCACTCCTAGCGATATGACGTATGAACATAAAATTCACCTCATGTATCTGGAAAACAGTGAACTTAAAAAAAAAGGTTAATCTAAGTGCTGTGATTATAATTTGAGTTATTATTCACACTATTTAAATTTGGTACTAGTCACTTGAACTTTTATTTTGTTGCTGCTATAACAACCGTGTACTCAAATTCCTCTCTAACAAAAGGATCAAATCACTTCAGGAAACATGTAAGAGGTTTCTCACGTTTAGAAGCTATAAATAAACCTGTCAAAGAGGCTACAGTGATTGTAAAAGGATCAAATTCATTTGCAGGTGAGCCATATGTATCATACTGAAATACAATGGTTGGGTTGTAAATGTTTAAAGAGCGTTGCATTTGTTTTATACATAAACGTGTGCACATATTATATTTTAAGACATTTAGCAAATGTTATTCCCGTTCGCCTCCGTATTTTTGTAAACAATAAACTCCACGTCATCTATGCCAAAGTACACTAACACGGCAACAGAAGCTCATTCGAGGAGAGCACGGAGCTACTAACCGTCCAGGAAGTTAAATTTGAGGAAGAACTCGTCGTAACACGACTCTGGCATTAAATATGCCAGCAAAAACCCTCTGAAAAAATCCATGAAGAGCCGTAAATGACTTAGTCGTAGCAAAGGATGAAGCAATATACATCCGTCCACATCAGTTCACCTCACAGTAAGCCCCTGCCTATTGCCGCTCTTCTTCTTCTTCTCCTTCTTCCTGTTTTGATGGCGACAGTCCGCGCTTGCTGCCACCTATAGTGATGAAATATGAACTTGCCGTTGCACAAGACAGGACTGTCCAACAGTCGTGGTCAAAACCCAGCGAGCCACGAAAACTTCCTAGTATTGATATATCACGAAATAAACCCATTAAAAAGAAATTAAAAGGGGAGTTTTTTATGTATTGATGCATTTTATTCTGAAAAAAAGTCATGTAAATGTATTTCTCCCCTAGAAGGTACAAGGTTTGATTAATTTTAGTCCATTCATTTTTTATTTATTTTTGGGGAGCTGTAGATTTGTAAAGGTCATTATCCACATTGTTGTTACTATTATCTCATCTACTATTATTAGTGTCACATGCCAGTTATACGGGCTTTTGTTCTGTCTTGGTTGGAGTTAACCAAGACAAAACAGTGAATTTGTGGCTAGTTTGCCTGCCTAATCTTACTAAAGATGCCTTCAATGTCCTTGTATTAATAATGCCCTAACAATCCAAACCTATCTTCTTATTGGATAGGCATACATTGCACGGGTCACACATGTCAAAAACAACATTGAATTAAAAGGTAAAAAAAATAATGAAGAAAATACCATTCTTTCACGTCAGAGGGTAATACCAGGCAGAACAGGAGAAACAATGGCAAGGACACTGTCCTAATTGTTTTTGATATGATATAATAATATAATAAATCTGTTTGGGGGTTATCTCAACCAGAAACTGTTCTAAAGGAATGACTAGACAATGAATAAAGTTTTTTTTTTATTACAGCAATGAACAATATTTGAAGCGTCAATAAATAGTAATCAATTGCAGTGTATGTATAACATGTATTAGTCTGTTACGCAGTAGTTGCATCTATACTAGCGGTCCCCAACCTTTTTTGTTCCAAGGACTGGTCCGCGAGTACCACCTGTTACTATGGACCAGTACCAAGGTGCTGAGAATTAAAGGGTCATTCAGTTTTCAAAATAAAACATCTTTAAGACTCTATTCTGTTTGTATCAGAGTCTGAATAACATTATTTTTTAAATTATGGCAAGATTTTGTTTAAATAAAGAAAGTAAATATGTAGACGGTTACGGAGCATCAAAAGCAGGACTGCCAGACTGAGGAACAGCTTCTTCCCTGAAGCTGTGAGACTGTTGAACTTGGGTGGACCCCTGTAACCCCCCCACACACACAATCAAAATGACTAGTTTAATGAACCATTGTGATTCATCACTGCTTTATTTCTTATTTTCTACTATGAATTATTCAAAGTTACTTTTGGAACAATGGATACAATATTTGGACTCCCTTTACATGTGATTATGTTTGTCATTTAAAAACAATCAATGTTGGTGTTGTCGGCCTCTACAAGGTCATGGGTTCTGTCAGCACCAGTGCTTCAAAAAAGCCCTTAAAAGTACTGACTTACTTATTTGTCAGTTGTAAGTCAATGTAAAGCCGGTTAATCAGTGAACATGGATGTCCATTCATTTCCTTACAAAGTACTAAACATTTGTCCAAGGTAAGCTTGTTAGTTTCTGATTACTTTAAATGGTAATCCATGTCCTGGTATTATGACATCAGCCATAAGCAGTGCTTTCTGACGGTTGAAGTCCTGTGCCGTAACATCCAAACTTAGATCCCGCCAAGTGTCTTCATCTGAATAGTTTTCAAACAAGTCTCCTGCCACAAGCACAGTGCCTAATGATGTTTCCTTTACTTGGACGGCGATGTCTTGTCCTGTGTGGCCTGGACAGGGAACCACTGATATCTGCAGTAGAGAGGATGAGTATGAAGTATTATTAGTAGTAGTAGAGATGAAGTGCGAGACGGATCATTTTTCAATGAAAACATTTTATATTTTTGTGGACATCATGGGCACTACACGCAAGACTTGAATGAATGTACCGTAGACTATAAACCACTACTTTTTTCACACGCTTTGAACCCAAGCACAAAGTGAAGGGAGTTAGCCCCGGAGCTAATGTTAGCTTCAGCCCTGGAGCAGATCACTAAGTCTCCCCTGTGCATTCCAACTACGACCGGGGTACCGAAACAGGAGAGAGCTAACGTGTTACCAACCGTGCTACACGGACTGTTCAAATGGTTTTCAGCATTATCAACCTTGACTACTGGCTGGCTGGTCAGCAAACGTTTTGCAATACATGTAACAGTGGTGAAGGCACAACATTGTCTTTTTCTATGTAGCCTCCTATGATTTCTGCAAACATGGAATTGCAGATGTAATTTCACTTAAATGCTGTTCTACTGTGGAAGAGGAATGTATATCTGGTGGCAACTGAGACAGCACTGAGGGAACTTAAGGTATGGTATTGAGGAATTGTGTTGTTTGTATTGCCACCTCAATAAATTTAAGGTGATTTCTATTTAATTTGTGTACATTTGAGTCATCTACATTAAAAACAAACTATTTGGGTAGTACAGCGAGTGTAAATGGTTACTCAGACCCCCCCCAAAAATATTATTAATTATTAATCAATGTATATTACTAATACTGTACTGTTTGTAATTAAATGACATTCAATAACATTAATTTAATCCATGCAATATCCACGTTTGTCCGTTGGATGGCACTGTCTACACATTGACATTTGTTGGAGCGTCGCGTATTACTTTCTACTTCACTTTTTTGCTTTGCCCCTTGTACCTTTCTGTATAATTGAGCTGCCCCCCCATTTATGCATTGGTTACCATAGCAACGTTTACAAACATCTGTAGCATGGCACAGAAGATGCTGGTGTTGCCTGGTGTCATTACATCAACAAAGCCCGTCACAGAAGTTTCTCTACTTTTTCTGTATTGTTATGAAAAAGAAGTAAATTATGTAATGTAAACTTTTAATTTTAACTAACATTTTAGTCCAGCACAGTCAAATCTGGGTAACTCATTAACCACCTTTTCACCTCTCTAGCTTTCCCCTCTTCTTCTCAACTTCTCAAACTGCCCAGTAATGATAATAAGACTTGCTGACATTCAGCCATAAAGGTCTCGTCAAACGAATGTTCGGTTCAGAAGGTATTGCAGTAATAAAATCAATCTAAATAGGGTGCATCTGAGAGTTATTTACATTTTCTTTAGTCATTAAATGTTTTTAATATAATCTTTAGCTTACATGGTCATCCAGTGTGTAAGCGTGTCCGCGTGCCATTTCGTTGGGTTGGTACGTGTCCCCCTTGCTGACGTCATAACCCACAATTATTAGCGCTGTTGGGAAAAGTGACAGATTTCCGATGTGGTCAGAATGTCCGTGAGTCCCTACGACCACGTCGATGTCTTGCTGCTCCAACCCCTTTTGCCTTAGGGCCTTAAGCAAGAAGTCTCTGTCCCAAGGTCCACCAGTGTCTACCAGAATAGTCTTAGGGCCCGTGATAAGGGTGATAGTTCCGTCGGCGCGAAACGTCCCATCGCTCTGTGAGTGACAGTATCCAACTTTGAGTACAGACACCGAGTATGGCTGACCGGAAATGTCCAATTGCGACTCTGGTAGCGGGACGAGCACTTTGTTTGACTCGGACATGTCAGTTCTATCTACGTACGTTGAAAGCTGGACCTCGATAAACGTAGTACCACGCACACGCTCCCTTGGCTTGGTGATACGTTGGCGCGTCCGCCATCTTGGTAAAGTCACGTCGTACGTGTGAAGGACACCCTTGGCCTGTAAGTAAAAAGAAAAACATTCACTTTTGATATCATTGTGATTGTGATGACATTTATATAAATGTTTACGTTGAGCTGTTGATCAACTTCAGCAGACATGAATATTTACCTGAATAGATATTATCTATTTAGATATTTTATACTCTTTAAACTGTTTCAACACTGGTAATATTGAAGTGAATTTGGCATTTATAGTTTTACAGGTACATAGGCAATGACAGTGAATACAAACAGTTTAAACAGAGTGCTTAATTGACTTATAAACACACAACTGATGGAGATGAGCAGGGAAATGGAAGACATTGCATCTTCAGTCAATTCACTTCACCTTTGTCAACATTGGTCATGTGTCTCTGTTTTTACCTCTGCCTAATTCTACACAGGGAAAGTACTATACTAAAACAAATAAAGCCCGGACTAAAGTAATGCATCTTACACTAACACAAGTAATCAGTACCAGGCTGGGGCTGGTACACATGACCGGGCCCTTTAAACCCAATAAAGCTCATGACAACACTTTAAAATATAGACATACCGGAAATGGTGGAGTTTACAAACCTTAATTCTTTATATATATATTTGTATTATACTGACAGACATACACTAACTGATTTGTGCTTTTAAAAGAGCTAATCAATTTTTTTTCAAGCTATTTTCTTTTATTTGTAAATGAGCTAATCTATTATTGACAAAACTGCAGCATTTTTCTTGCCTAGAACATCCCTGTGCCCCCCGTATGACGCAAGAGTAAGGGACATTTTGGAGATTCTTATGATATTTGGTTAACTAAAATTAGATTGAAAAAGTGTAGTGCTTGTATTACAGTTTATCACATTAAAAATATATTTAGTTTAATTTCTTTTGTTTTAACTACTAATGCGAGATGACAAAGAAAAGGTAAAACAAATGCTTTGTAACTATAGTGACATGCGTGATTATTTTAGGTTGTTTTTGTAGATGTGGTTGCTTTTTTCTGATTATTTTTGTTTTTGTAGATGTGGTTGCTTTTTTGACATGGCAACATCGGCATTCATTTGCCTAGACTTCAGTGTTATTGTGGCAGAACGCATAGAGCCATTTCATAATGTAAATTTTCTGCAAATTGTATGGATCATAAAAACAACATAAATTGATATGTATTCCTTAATAAAACATAAAACACATACAAAACGTAAACTTAGAAAAAGAATAAGCTTTATTGGACATTGTACATAACATAACCTTGTACGCAAAAAATGTCCTCCCATCTCTAAGAACAGTGGACACTATTATTATTTGATGTTTGTTTTACATACCATAACCTGGAAAGGATTCGAACCTGCCTTCCTATTATAACAAGCCTGATCCTCTTACCACTTGATCACAAAAATAAATGCCCTAAATGCATTAAAACACACAACTTGTGGCAATAATGAAACATGATAAAGTGCCTTGACCCAATTCTATGTCTTCATACAACCATCTCTAAGCCAGAAAATGTCACTTCTTTAACAGCTACAATGATAGCGGTGACTGTTTTAGTACTGTTAACACCTTTGTCGTTTCAGTCTACTTGTCAGCTAGCATTCCTTTAAGCGTGCTGCGTTGACTGCCCTTAAAATAAACAACTATAGCACAAAACCCTTCTAATTGATGCACACTTCATTGCACGCTGTAAATGTATTAAAGTCATTCATTTAAAATGACAACCATAGACAGTAAAAAGACCATAACAATTAGTTTTACTTCTGTTCCTCCTTGATTGTACACACTGACGTGCTGCTGTACTGCTTGAATAGTGAAATGTCAGTCCTTCTGACATGCAGCTCTGCGGCAAATGCTCTTGCCTTCTGGTAAAAGAAGAGCGACAGGTCTCTATCGTTGAGAAAGTTGTGATAGATGGTGGCCAGGCGTGTGCAGAGCTGCAGCTGAGCATGCTTGTTTCCAAGGTCCATAGCTGCAGCCAGAGCTAGGTGGTAGTAGCCTGCAGCATCAAACGGATCCTGTGGAAATCAAACACCCATGGTTATGATATCAATATGAAATAATTCAGGCTGGAACTGTCTGAGATAATAGGTTATAACTAGGGGATGTCCGATATAAACTTTTTGCCCATATGCCAATATTGTCTGATATAGTGGGGCAGTGGTTGCTTGGAAGGAAGTGGACTTGTATCTGTGAAGATTCTCATTCATCCAGGTCGCGCTCCCTGTTCACTAAGGTGATGGGTTAAAGGCACTGGATACATTTCGTTTTGTGCTGTGCATCAGTGATAACAATTCACTTTCATATGTTTAGGTTCCCCGTGTGCAGTGCATCAGTGACAATAATTCACTTTCATATGTTTAGGTTCCCCAAAACTATTGTTAAGTCACACATTTGCGAAACCCAGACATCAGATTTTCATTATGGGAAGAAAAACCCATCATGATTCTTACAGATACTAGATGCTAACATTAAATCAATAATATCATTTGGTCGATATCCCTAGGGCCAATAATATCATTTGGTCGATATCCCTAGTTGACTAATAAATTAAATTACATGTGCGGGGTGGGGGTGGGGGGAATGTACAGGAGCCAATTCCAACTGTCAACAGGAGGTACACCCAGGATACCCTGGTTTGCCAATATAAGCATAGAGTACACTGTTTGCAAACATTTATAACAATTCAGTTTCTAATCAACCTAATCCTCTTAAGGGCATGTTTTTGGGCGGTAGGAGGAAACCAGAGTACCGGAGTAAAGCTATAAATAGGAAAGGCAATTTCATTCATCCTTACCGGTACTGAGTGACTGAGTCGTGATTGCGCAATGTTCGCTTCGCTTTCTCACAAATGATTGTCTCCGAACTACTGTCGCCGGCCAACTGCTTTTCGTTGATCCGAGTCAGTAGTAACTTTTCCACTTCTTCTAAAGTCTGAGATCTTTGCTTGGTGATCACAGTCACTCCTTTGGCAACCTTAGCTTCTTTTATGGCTTCCTTGTTCTTAATGATGGTACAAATCGACGACTTTGCTAAGCCATACTGTAAAGCCAGATCTGAAACACGAGCGCCATTCTCATGCTTTGATATAATCTTTCTTCACCTCTACTGTTGTTGTCAAATCAGCAAAATCAGACAACAGTTCTTAGCGTGTATATCCCCAGCACGGACTGAGGCAAGATGGACGCCACCGCTCAGTCACTCGGTGATCACTTGCTGCCCGTGGGATACTGTTGGCTTGTTCGGCAACCGAGTTATTGTACGGAAACAGGGCAATTTTTTGGTCAGAAATTTTGTCACTGAACCGAATTGTTCAAAAAGGGAGGCGTTAGACAACTGAGGTTCCACTGTATATTTATAATTCATCTTCGGTGAATGTCATCTTTATTTCCCGGTAGCTGAAGGCAGTTAACGAGGCTAACATCAGTCAATACCAATGTTAATCCAATGCATTGGTGCATCCCTAGTTATTTTGTCTTGACCAAGTTTATACTCACACTACTAACACAGTAACCCTTTCTCTGTAAATATGTCTCAATATTTGTGCCTTTTCTTTAGAAAACATTCCCTTTTAACACTAGAGATGTGCTTTTATTTTTGTTATCTACGTACAGTACATCCTTACCTTCATGTCGTAGAATATCATGTCTCCGAGGACTTGGTAAACCCTGACATAGTAGAGCGTTTCCTCATCAAACTGCATAGGTGTTGGACAGTGTGTCAGTGTCTTTAGGTAATAGTGTTCAGCAAGTTCATATTGCTCCAGACGGTGGTAGAGAGATGCAAGGCGATGGTAGGCCACTCGTTGGTTCAGATGCTCACCTTTAAGTAAAACCAAAAACAGAGGAAGGCGCTACGTGTCATTTCTTTTGCGCTGTAAGTACAAACTCTATGTAAATCAAATGAAAACCTGCAGATATCATTTGATATCAAGACTGTCCCATGAAACCTGTACTATTTTTATTTGCCATTGAACCTTTGGCCATGGCAAGCCATCAGTTGTCTGGCCTCATGGGCATGACTATTGGAAAGACAGAACACCCTTTGTGGCTCTGTGTGGATAATATTGTCTTAACAAAACTAGAAATGTCACTCTTGACTCTCAGCCATTTGCTGAGAGTTTTCAGACAATTGTCTAGTTAAGTCAACAAAATAAATGCTTTGCTAATACTGAACACTCAGTTTGCTAATACCCCGGAAGTATTTACTTACCTAGGCATTAGAATATTATTCTTACCAGTACGACTGTCCCAATACTAGTTTTCACAAACCAATACGAATATACTAAGTATTTTTAACTTTGGGACAGTCATACTGGTAAGAATAATATTCTACTAGTTTTCATAAACCAATACGAATATACTAAGTATTTTCATTTCACATGTGTATAACGAGTTGTTAGCGATAACAAGTACTGGTAAAATACATCTTTGGATAAGTATCAATAAATATACAATAATCTTAAAGGCAAACACAATGCTGTCAAACAAATCCCAATTTAAAAAAAAAAATGAGAAGAGACACTAGCCCAACTTCAGGTGTTTTGTCAAATTGCTCGTATCATAACAGACAACTGGTACACAAACATGTTGTATTAAAAAGACGTTAAGGAGTATCACTTCTCGATTGTATTCAGTGGGTGAGTATCGGTCACAATAAAGCCGGATGCTTACTCACCTTGACTGATACTGAGATCCAGTGCCATCTGTGCAAACTCAAGAGCTTCCTTATACAGATTCAGACTGAACATCACCACGGTCAGTTTATTACACAGTCTGAGTGTGGTGTGAACACTGCTGCTCTGCTTTATTGCCATGGGCAGCGCACGCTCCTGAGGATTGAGCAAACACATGCGGGAGCTTTAGGCAGATGTATTGGTGAATCGTCACGACACATAAGAATGTCGGTTCGAGTGCATCACTGTTTTAGTCAACAAATGTTGGTTAGTAGGCAGTGATGTATTTTGCGTTTAGCATTTAATGCAATTGCTACTTACAATTAAACAAGATGCCACTTGAGTGGTGTTTACGCGGCTGCAATACGACTGTGGAGTCTGGAACAATTTGGAGTATTGGGAGGGACCTGTCTCTCCATAACCTTTCAACCCATTTATACCCTCCACCTTGTAACATCCTTCTCCAGACATCCCTGCTCAATGCCACACAATAACAATAATGGTGGATGTCAGGCTACTTCTGACCATGCTAGAGATGCTAATTTGGCTATTTGGGGTTCTATAGCTAATTATTCCACTTGCATTACCTTCTTGGGCAGAAAGGTTTATTTGGAACACTGTTCTTCCAGTATTAATATATTAGTGCAGGGATGCCACAGCGCCACATACAGGCCTGGCATATGTACTACAGGGACCAGAGTCGTATTTAACGATTCCATTTAAACATTTTCTTGCACTGTGTCTATGTGAACGGGACAATATGGCTCTGCATCTGTATGTCTCCATAGTCGTACTGCATGCGTGTACTGTACCAAATGTTAGATGGGGGGCGGGGGGGGGTGCAGTGGGGGTTGATCAAAACACTTAATATTCCACGTTTAATGAGGAAATACCCTGTAGAAGGTTATGGCCTTATCCCTGTCTCTGCAGCTGTTCAAGAAAATATCTCCTGCGGTTTCCAGAAACTTCAAGATGAAGCTGGTGTCTCCTATTTTCAGGGCAACTTCCTGAGCAACCTATTAACAGACATTAACAACATTATAAGTGATTTCCTTGTCTGGCTACATTCTATAAACGTCAAACTTTGACCAAGTGAGGATTTACAGAATCTGGACAAAATACATTTTAAATTGATTGAACTAACACCAAGTAACATCATATTTTATCATGAACCAAAATCAGAAACATCAAATAACATCAAAGTTGGCTGGTTTTATGTAAGGAAAATCTTCTTACAGACCAATGGTGAAAGTGTGGCCAAAAGCAAAAAAAAAAAAAAAGTCAAGTAGTACTCCTTGTCAAAGATGGATTTACACTGTCATGGTGGGACACCATGGTGAATTATCATATGCGACACGTCCTGTTTAGACCAACGTGTTCACACAGACTTTTAATACAGGTACTGCTGCGTACTCGATACCTGTTTTTGTTCACATTTAAAAGGGGATCGAGTGCACCTTAATCTCGTGCGATTTCTTAACCCGACACACATACTGTCATGTGATCAGCAAAATGAGAATGAATGAGATATCTGGGATTTTTCATCCTGTGTGGCGATTACCGCATTAACGACTAGGGGTTAACTGTTCCTGGGTATGGGAGAGGGAGTAAAGAGGCATGGAAGATACTGAGTGATGTGAGAGAGCCAGTGAGAGAGCAATTATAGTGATCAGGGAAAAGTTCATGTGAAGTTCAGCGTGAGTTTTGGCTGCAATAACAGCTTGGTTATGGATTGTTTGTATTAAAAAAAAAATGCACTGAGGTCTCCGCCTGGTTCATTGCTGCTGAATGGGTCATTACAATATGCAATATGCCCAATACTGTATGGTGAGAAAACATTGTACCTCATCCTTTCAACCAGCCATCTCTTTGGTCTGACGTGTCAGCCATTAATTAAAAAAGGAAAGATTGGTGGGGGATAAGAATGCGGGAGACTTCATGGGATTTGTGAAAGTAATACACATGAAAAGAGCCAAACCTTTTTTTTTTTTTACTTCCATTTCTTTTACATTAATACTAAACCTCTCTATTGTAGGGTGTTTGTGCTGCCTTTTGTCAGAAATAAAATCTCTTCAAAATGATCTGACATTGTGTTAATTAAAGCTTTCTATGTATTAAGATATACATACATCAAAAGTACTAGTGGTATTCGTTATCGATAAGTAATCAAGACGGTCTAAAAAATGTGGTATTGAACAGCCCTACTTTTCTACCTTTCATTATGGCCAAACTCTTCTGTTTTTATGTCCTAGATCACGGGTGTCAAACTCATATTCACCGGCGGCCACATCAGCAATACAGTTCCTGTGGAAGGGCCGGTTTTAAATGGAAGACTGTATAGATCAGGTGTCCCCAACCCCTGGTTCGCGGACCAGTACCAGTCCATAGGTACTGATTGTGGCAATGAAGTCCACAATGGGCCACTGTGGCTTGCTAGTCCATCGCAGGGCAAACAAAGAGCCATTCATGCTCGCATTAATACCTATGGTCAATGTAGATGTCAGGAGATTGGGTTCATTTCTTTTCTCCAAATTGACCACAAGTATGAATGAATGAATGAATGTGAATCGCTGTCTCTATATGTGGCCAGTTGACTGGGAAATTAAACTCCAACTGTACAAATAACAATGACAGCAGTAATACCTCAGGTCATACCTGAACATAAAGGTCCACCAGTTCATTATGTCCCAACAGGTGATAAATCTTCCCAGCATGCAGCCATCCATATGCCTCCTTCTTCTTAAGGCCCAGGTCGATGAAGATACCCAAGGAGCTTTTCGTACAATCAAGAGCTGCTCGGTATGCTCTAAACAGAAACACAGACAACGGGACATGATTAACTCTGCGGTTAAATGTAATCTTTCATCTTAACAATAACAAGCAAAATCAATCAACAATCATTATAATTTGTTTTGATCCTTTTTACGACCATATATTCATCAATATGATTCTTTTTCAACAGCAAGCTGTACATAAAAAAAAAATGTAGTTATGTGAAATGGTTTTTAATGTCCACCAAACTGCTAAAAGTTATCCTAAAACATGTTTTTCGAAATCCACCGAAATAGTAATACAAATATTATTAGTATTAATCCACCAAAATAGTAATACAAATATTATTAGTATTTTTCTAAGCTTGCCAAAATGTGAACATATACTCAGAGAAGTATTTTAAAACGCCCATGAGGGCAATGGGAAAATCCATTGATTGTTTTTGAATGTAAATATATAAATAAAGACTCTGCATCGGTATTGGTTTTTATAATTTGAATTTTAGAATGCTTTAGAGTGCTTAAAAAGTCCCTCTGTTGCCTATGCTCTTGGGTTGGTTGCACTTGTAAAATCACAAATCTCTGCAGATTACAAGCTACATGTCTAACCATGTGATATGCTCTCAACACAAACACCCACCTTTCTGTTCCCAGGTTAAGGTAGATCTCACTCAGGATTTCCAGTACTTCACTCTCCTGTATTTGGTCTTTTAAGTGTCTCAGCAAATGGATTTGGTATTCATTGTAGATGATACACCGAGTCTGATCCGGACAATCGTATTTGTACAGATGACATAGAATCCTGGTTGCAGAAAGCTGACCTGGCAAATATAAAAGCACATCTTCAACTAAACAATCTGTGAGAACAACTTAAAATAACAGCGTGACTCACTTACTTACAGTCAAAAAGGTTTGCTTTGACAGCCAGCAGCAGAGCCCACTCATAACACCCTTTCCCATGGTGAATCTCCCTCTGCTTCACAAAATGCCGACCCAGTTCGAGCAACACGCCGATGAAGTTTGCCTCATGGCCTTCTCCCTCCAGCTCTGAAAAGAGCTGCACAGCCTCAGTTAGATGTCTCTCTGCCAGCTTTTTGGCCCCAGCCTTTAGAGACAACAAGCCTAAACGGGGACGAAGGAGAGTATGATACAACAGAACTGTCGATTACTGCAGGAACTGCGTGTTGATAGGTGTTTGCTTTTTTCACCCAGGTTTCCCTGAGCCACGGCCCAGTTTGCCAGATCCTCGTACTCTTGGCAGATGTCAACAGCTGCCTGATAGCTCTCCGCCGCCTTCCGCAGGTAACCCAAGTTGCACAGTGCCACACCTTGCAGGTTAAGGATCACACCTTTGGAGTAAACAGATTAACATGACTGCTTGAACTAGGGTGCCATGCCACCAAATAAAGCTGACAAAAGGGCCAGAAATTATATAGACAATATTCAGATTAAAAAACAACCTATGAAATGTACCATATGTACCAAATATGTATTTGGTACAATATAATATTATATTTATTATATTATATTATTAATATAATGTACATTATTAATATATATATAATATATTAATATATACTAATATATATTAATATATTATATATAATATATATTAAT